TATGTTGTTAATATACCTAATTAAATCACTGTATTGAATGTATGTTTTCGTATGCTGATTGTTATACATTAATTTTGTACATTTTTATTCAATAGGTTTTTTTTTCAAAAGGTGAATTTAAAACAAAGCGAAGTTTTAAAAATCAAACAACCAAAACTGAAATACTGAAGATAATGGATGAAATAAATAAATGAACATTGAACATTTTAATGTATATAAACATTTCCTAAAATGCTGTCAAACCATTCTAGATAATTAAGATAATCTATGCAATTAAAAACATGATTATTACATGCGAAACGATCTTAATATACAATTAAATGAAGTATCAAAATCAAATTATTCAATCTCCTATAAACAACGAACTACATCTTATTTACTATTTATTGTTTTCATATCGTATTTGTAGTTATGACAACCAGTCGCCAAAGGATCAGTCGATCATTAAGATTTATAATACTGTAAGCTGTTGGGTAATTAATTTGTTATGAATATATTTACAGATTGTAAGATAGCTTGAATTAAAAAGTATTAGTGATTAGAAATGGTATATCAAACGGACAGATCTATAGATATGTGTAAGTCCTAAAATAAGTGTTTACTAGTTTTACTGAGAATACACGATAAAATGTGTCCTCTGAAATAAAAGTATAAAATTTCATTAGATCCTACAGTTGTTTCAAGAGATAGAAGTAGTAGGACTACTAGATCCAGCTTTCATTGTTGTATCATACATTTTCTCCTGTAAGACGAACATGAGCTTCCTGAACTCTTGCATCTAAGTTGACGTAACACGGTTAAAGATAACTCAGAGTGATATAACCTCCTTTGATTTTATTCCTATTAAGAGCAGAAACTCTAGAAGATTATGTGTTTAATTACTTTACGATCCACGTTTGAAATATATCCCCATAATATACAACTTGACTGAATTCGAATTTCCGAATTATTCAGTTCTCGAATTCGCTTTACTTAGACTGACTTAATTTAGTGCAAATTCAATAATCATAATATTTAGCCTTCACTAACAAACAATTAACTAACTACACATGAAAAGGGGTTCCGAGATTCAGGCGTTATGCTTTCAGTTACGGAGTCTTAGACACAAGCCCCTTCTCTCATACATCGATTCGGACAACCGAACAGCATTATTTGCCCTCACACTAAAAATCTGTGGCTCAAAGCCAAGTATTCAGAACTGTACCTGGTTACCAGTTAATAACAATGCCTCAATAAGCATTTAGAGTACTTCAGAATGATTTTCAAAATTAATAAATGAATACAGAGTTCAAACAAGTTTTTTTTTAAAATATGCTGAGACAGAACTTTCAGCTTGTTATTGACAAGTTAATTGAGATTTTCGCACAAATATTTTCGATACTTTCGACTTACAAGAAAAAAACAATTTTCGAGAAAATTCTTGTTTATCAGCTACCAGTTTCAAAATAGATGGAAAATTAATAAAAATTATATTTGAAATAATTTCAGCGATTGAAGTTTAAATAATTCCAATGTTTCGTCCAGCAAACTTGTCTGGACTTCATCGGGGTAATGATTAAAATCAAAATTATCAAATATGTGAAAAGTTCACAATATAAAAACAAATGAATTTGTACGTTATTAATAGTTGATATTCAATGTTAATTTGTTTATCATAAGTAAAAATAAAAGTGTAAATTGAAAATGTATTTAAAACATCAATGTGTATGTTAAATTAGAACCATCAGGCACATAATTCATCTTATATTGGTTGCTTGAATTGTTATGATAAAGTATTCATATTAATTCCAGTTAGAACAACGGTGCATGTTAAATAAACAGGTTGGATAGAGATAAGGTCCAATTGTGGTGTGGGTTACTTATATTCACATAAATAGTATATGATGTTGGTCAGGCAGAGAATGTATTTCAGTAGAAGATCGATATCGAAAGAACCGGAACGGAATGCAATCGGTATGAAAATGAATGAACAATGAAATCTGAGATAATGGACTGATATTTGCAGGAGAAACAGTCAAGATTGAGACAATTGATTGATAATTTACAAATTAACTGTTTCACTTATGGCTGTCAGATTTTACGGAGATATTCTGTAAGGTCGTGTCCAATGCTTTCGATTATTCCCACTCACGTTCTTGTTCACTACGCAATTGTTCGTCAAAAAATTCCATACCTTGAAGTTTTAAGATGGTTTTATATTATATAGTATTTTTATTTAAACCCTAATGTGTAAAGAATTGGCAAATTATAAAAATTGTAACGCCCAAATGCGTACAAATAATAAACATCAACCTATTCTTTTAGGCTGAATAGCACTAACTTACGACAGATAAACATAATTTATTCAATAACTATCTGATGGTTTTATATCACATGCTTATTGCTAAAAACTATTGAAGATAATCGGTATAAGGTCATAAACCCAAGATGCTTGCTAGATAGAACTCATTAATCGTGTGTACTAGAATCTTGAGGGAATCGATGATCAGAAAATTATTTCAAATTAGCTGTAGCTCAAGTATTTTCCATAAAAAAATCGAATAACAACAGTAGTTGCCGTTAAGTGTTTCAATCAGAGCTTACCCAACTTTCCAAAGATAACTTCTTTGTCAAATTGACAACTAAAGTGATTATAAGATTCCCTGCTTTTTCTATTGATATGATCACAGCTTATTTACATTATAAGTAGTATTTTTCGACTATTAATCTAGGTCTTAAAAATACATTTCATTATAAAACAGGCTTTGACATTGCAAACATGAGATCGATAACTGTGTTGTAAAATGAAATCCAGTCTCGCTATATTTACAAGAGTTTAATAAATTATTCTTCTCAACAGTTGCTTCTGTAATTAGCGAGCAGTTGCTTGAATAAAAATATGGTGTTCGTTTTTGTTAATTTCTAATGAATGCTTAACTTTCGGTCGATAAAGAAATTACTCCTAAAAGTAGTTACTCATACAAACTATGTAGGACCAGACAATTAAAGTATAGAAATGCCGCTAATCCATCTACGTTTGGCCATAACCATAATGATGATTAAGCCATTCCAGAGTCCTTTGATTACTATCTTAAGGTTGTATTAATGAAATGAGTCTTACTTGAAGTCTGCTTGTATGCAAACCATAAATTTCTAAAATATATGATTAATATGACAGAAGCCAATATTTTTATTCTGGACTGAACGGATTAGGATAGACAAGAAGTTAGCACTCAGAAAACCAATAAGAACTCAGAGCTTACACAAAGCTGCTACGGTTGATTAATGCATTATTGGTTTAATGTGGAACAAGGTCATAGAAATCGGTATTCTAATTGGCGATTTGTCACGTGATATTTAACAGGTCAGGAAATAACAGATTGAGGTTGTGTAACTTCCAAGTCTGTTTCGTTGCTGTTTAACGACAAACTACTAACCAATAAACATTCCTCAATGATTTTGCATCAGTGTCAGAAATGTAGTGATATGCAGTAGTGGTACTAATCTATCACAGCTGAAGCTGAGATACTAAAAACTAAATGAAGACGACGAAAAAACGTAGTTGTTACTAACTTCAAGATCTCGTAGCAGATTGTCAAAAGTTTAGAACAAAGTCGTACTGTCAACTTGACTCTAGTATAACGATAGCAAGGTACTTTGCATATATGCCAGTATTTTTAGGGATTCTCTCCTACAAGTATCAATCCCAAAAGTAGCATACCTCACCTAGTCCCACTGGGTTTTGTGATGGTAGGAAAGGGTGAAAAGTACAGAGCTAACACGTCAGCTAACTACGATTTTGTATCTGAAGTCATGTTCTAAGTAAGAAATATTCTTCTATGGCGTAGGTAATTGAGAAGCAACAACTTTATGAGACGGCTAACCACTGAACCAGACCTCACTTTTCTGTACAATGGTAATCGGGATCACAATGATTAAAACTAAAAACACAACAACCTAAGTTAATTTCCAAAGTTTAGCCTACAAAACAAATGGAGTTTTTAGTTAAGATCCCATGAGATTAACAAAATATCTGTACTTCAAACCATTATCAAAAAAATTAAAAACCAAGACTCCTCGATGTGACAGCGATGCATGAACCAATGTAGGAGATAAAATATGTTTGTTGCTACCATAAGTTCAACTAATAAGCAGGATTAAAACGAAAACACATCGACAAATATATATATATATATATATATATATATATATATATATATATATATATATAATACCTGAGCTTATTTAGTAGATTAAAGATGTCCCTCACATTTCATAATGCTGGTCATTTAGTAAAGTTACTGATGACAGTGATTATTATGATAACTAGTTTTTTTTTACTAAGGATTTAAAAATATGTAATGAAGGGAAACTACAGTTTCACTGGCATCAAAAAGAAATGGATCTTAGACGCTGCAGTAGGAAATACAGCGTTATAATATTTATTACATGGGAATACGCAAAGTCGCTCAATAGAATTCGAGTCATGTTACTGTTCATGCATTACTAACCAGAACTCAGTAGACTAAAACAGATTATAGGATGTTTACAACAAAAACTGCTAGTAACGTAAACCATGTATTTGTAAATATTGCTGATAACCGACACTCCGAAATTAGAACATCGCATAAAGAAAATAATCCATCAAGTTAAATCACCCATAAGTAAACATGTATTTTAAAGCTTTCTATACGAAAAATGAGCTGACTGCAGAGAAAAAAAGATGCTCGATATAAATATCAACTTAGATTATACAAATTGTTATACGGTAAAGTTGAGTAAAAAGACTATGTTTATAGCTTTCTGCATTCTCAGAATACATAAAAATTATTTGGTTATTCATTTTATTTGCGTGTTAATTCATACACAGCTAATACACAAATAATGGGGAAAGCATATACTGTCTTTGGAATATACCAGAAATTAAAATGGGTGAAAAATAGTTTGGTTTCGTAAAGGAGTAATCATCAAAAGACAATTTGAAACATGTGTTATTTGAGAAAGACATGAATAGATTAATTTTATTTGGCTGGTTCCAGTACATAGCGGATATATGGCACATCAACATCTTTATCATGCTCATCGCTGCAACAGACGTCAAACACCAGGACTTTGACATGGGGAGGTATTTTGCGTTTGTTAACTACTTCCACCAGATCTCTTAATCTGAAAAAAAAACACATTTAAGCAATAGAAAACTGAAAAATCATTCTACGGAACTTAGGTATTTTTTAATCACTTAAGATCAAAGTAACCACGAAAAGGAATTCAGTGATGACTCCATAAATTAGCGGCATGGGCTCCTTGTATGTTACTCCAAGATTTACAATGTAATGATATCAATTCGAGATGAAAACATACAAAGAAATGATAGACTCTCCATGTTTAATTTACAAAAATATTTGAAATATCGAACATTGGACAAGTCAATCATACTATTAATAACACTTGATCGAGTATCATAAAAATCTTGAGCCGCTAACCAATGCTTTATTACTATTACATTATTTTATTATACGTACTATTATATTATGATACGTATTCATCAGTCAGTTACAACGTAGGACCGGGCACACATATGCATCGATCCAAGTTGCCATAATATTATACGTATTAGTCAAACAGGTTTTGAGTGAACAGAAATTAAAGCAAGTACAATGTGTGAAACATGAAAATATGCAGAGAGAATATATTTACGAAATGTCGACTGTTTCGAGCTGATTGTTCTTAGTAGACAGGAGCAACAATGAAACTAAAACCGAATCGCTTCATTCTACTTTAAAGCTGTAAATGTGGTTATTGAAAAAAAGGATATTTATAGGTTACTAATATTCAACCAAAGGTATCTTCGAACCATCGTTCGTATATTTTGAAGACGATGAATTAGCAATTCTGAGTCTAGACCCATAGTACAAGGTAAGGATGATTAATAGATCAATAAAGTAGCAAATATTTATCTACTGAGATCGTAAGAACATGTTTTACGTATCCCCATCCACCAACTACTTCGATGAGCGATAATAGATGGTGTAGTAGTCTAGAAGCTAGCTGAGTTCGAACCAACAATTGGGTATCAGTCCATGAAGATAGTGACTGTTCCACTGACTAACATAGGTAAATGTAGACTACCTGGTTGGGGTAGGTTTGATCATCGTAGCTTTTAGGTGACAATGTTCAAAATCGTTTCGAATGACGCAGATACATTTACTCGTCGTCTTGACTTAGTTTTTAAGTTTCTAAATTACCCTTAAAAATTATCCCACTAATCTATAATTATTTCCCGAATTGTAACTTCAATGGCTAATCTCCTAAATTACCATTATTACTGTTAATACTTCTACTAGTCTGGGGTTTGTTCTAACGATTTCGTCTTGTGTTAATACTGTATGGCGACTTGGACCGATGTACGAATATGCCAGGTTCTGTGGTGGTGACTGTGGCCGAGAATTAACACACAACTACAAGTGCTTAATACATACATCTTATAAAACAATTTTGCTAACCAGCAAACAGTTGAAATTTCAGTGCAAAAATTTCATGAAAAATAAAATTTAAATTAATGCTTTTAATGATGTTGATCTAGTGTGAAGAAATTCGAGTACTTCACTTCTGTCAGGATTATTTGCTAATGCTATCCAAAAGAAGGGCAATGAAAGTTCTAGAACTAAACCATCCAGCCCAGAGAACAAAACTCTACTGAGATCAACCATCTGAGCTGTAAATCGTTTCCAACATTTTAATTTAAATTATTGTTTCCGACAACTAAGTAGTGTCCTATAAACAAAACTCTTTCGTACTCCACACTTTCTGAGAAACACATGGAACGAAAACAACACATCTACCATATCAAAAACTGTTTTGTCACCAACTAATCTACAAGTAACTAGTTTGATACTGTGTTTCGTAGCAAATTATTCTTATAAATTTGAGCCATTTAATCTACATGTATTGGTTAATTGAATCTTCCTATTGACGTTTTGGACTGTAATTGACCAGCCTCTTTCGGGAAATCTGTCTCGATATTACAACTATGCCACAAGCATTTTTTCAGGGGGAGATAGTGTTGTATTCCGTGGAGAATTATGAATGGTAACTTTTAGCACTATTTATGGACCGATATGATATGTATATTTTCTATTGTATAATTGATAAGTAACTTAACTATTCATATTTATGTTCCTTTTATTATGAGCTTTATTTTGACCTATGAACTATTATTATACGTTTTACCATTCTTGAGTTATCCCCAGTTTATTGATTACTGTTCACCCTATTCACAGCAACATTTGGTCAAATCTTGTTATTTTCTATTTTATGGTACGATGTGGTCTGATTGGTATATAAACCCAGTATGTTTGTTAATAATGATTCATATTGCAAAGGCTGTTATTGGTGTTGTGAACTTAACTGGCTGGGCTAGGCAGAAAGCAGGACTGATAATTACTCAAGACTGCTCATACAGCTTTTGTGTATCATTGCTCTGATCGATAAAATCACTGCCCTCTAATTGGCGGTCTTATAACTTTATATATCAAACAGGGCACGCACGCACCCAATCGATATAATAGATAGACAGTGTCTAGCAGTTCTATTCCACTGCCAGCCAACATTACTATCCATCTCTCTTCAAAAAAATGCTTTCGAATTACTTAATTCAAAAAAGATATACATCGATAGTCAACTGTCATCTAAATACTATGCGATTATTTAAAGCACCTGTAAAATATGAAGCGAAACTATCAAATGAACTTACGACATAGCTAGACGTTCCTTACGCTTTGCCTCTGGCATGAAGAATGCATAGAGCATAGAAACATCTTGCGACAGCATTGTTACATTTAACTTCAAACTATCCTAAAATAACCAGAGTGAATTAGCTTGGACATGAAAGCAGGCTTACTTTGAAGTAATCAATTAAACCTTGTAAGGTCATAGGACCTGAAAGTTCGAACCGATCCCATAAAGAAAATTCTGTATCGTAGTATTTTGATTTGATAGGTGCTACAGGTTCATAAAATGAAGTAAACGGCAATGCTAAATCGACGTAAGCATTTTTGAACAGTTCGAGTTTTTTGTGTCCTTGAACAAGCTAAAAGTAACATATGAAAAATGGAGTGAACAAACAGTTACAAATAGTAAGAATTTCATAACATATTGTACGGGAATGACTCTCGAGTTCAATAACTTCGTCACGAAAATATTGTCGATGACTAACAATAACTTTGATTGTTAGCTGCTTTATTTTATATTATCCCGTAAAAAACATCCAGCGATAAATGTTTCTGCAACTTGAAGACTGTATGTGTACAAGCAACAATTACACATATCATTTGACAAATATACAAGACAGCTTTTAGAAAATCACCTGACAACCTACAACTTATCACCGTCTGTCAATAACACTTGTCATAGAGAAACAAAATTAAATCACCTAAATACAGAAAAGTACAATTATGGTGAAATATAATCACAAACCTTAAATAGTTCTAAGCATACAAGCCCAGCTACTAAACTAGTTGTAGTTGCAATCGCAGGGATAATTTTACCAGCAATTAATTTACTTTTCAGTCGGTCAGCTGGAGGAATTTCATAATTCTCGGCCCTTAAATTGCTTGCCGCGGTGATGAAGTCCATATGGAAATTTGCGTCATCATCTTTCTCAAATTCAATTACGTTGATATGTAGTCTTGAAGTGTTACCTTTGTAGTAAAAATGAAAATGAAAAAAAAAACAAAGTCACAGCTAGCACAAAAATATTAAGCTGTTTAAGTTTTTTTATAAACAAAACAATAACTTAGTACCACCATAGTGTCATTTCGTAACATCTTTAGCTTAAAAGGCAGCACCTATAGTTTAGAAAAATTACCCAGTCATCTAATAATTAGTCAGTCACACTAGCTAATTCAATTTGTACCATACAAAACATCTGAAAAATTGAATATACCTAGATTTCCCATGGTAAAACCAGACTGAAGAAATGATTGCAAACAAATATTGTGTAGAGACTTAATCAACTAAGATTTGGAGTTATTGATTGACCATTGAGAATATCATCAACAATACCCAAGAAATGCTTTGACATTAGTCAGTGATTGTACACTTTCTAGGGGTAAATAAATGGAACGAAGATATAAGTGTAAAACTTCATATTAGAATTTACACATTTGAATTGTCACAATTTCTAACAGAGGAAAAATAATGGAAAGATATTTGAATAACAAAGGGTATACGAAAAAGCAAAGCAAATAAGGAAATATTAATGTAGAGCTGGGACACCTACGCTTATGTTATTTTGAACTATATCGCCCGACGCATCAAATTACTTTTTTATTAAACTATGTATCCAAAACATAAAATGGTTAAAGTAAGACTGGTGAATTATTCAGAAAAAAACACCTGTATTTCACAATACGAAAAAAATAAATACTGGAGATTTAGTTTCTAGAAGCATGCACAGATATAATGGGGAAACAAAAAATAGGTGCTTTTGTAGCCGGCACATAGTGAAGCACTTACTAAAGCTACGTAAAGCTTTCTGAAGTTTTTCAAGTCGAGATGTATCAGTCATAGGTGCAGCTGACCTTGCTTGAGCCTCTGCCTCGGTTACATCAATTCGTACGCCAGATCGAGGAACAAATGGAGGAACAATCACACTTTGAACAATTTCGGAAATCTTGGACAGGTTTCGACATTGTGGGATACCATAGCATTCTGCGCGAAGATTTGAAGCTGCCGAAATAAACTCCAAATGTGTTGGCTATGATAAAAATATCAAATATGCAATTCATGAGTTTTTACGAAGTGGGAGTTCTTACAGTGAAGTTGATTAAAAAGGTCTGTGGTTCAAACAGCCATGTTCGTTTTCAAGCCGCATGCATTACGAGAAGCAATTATTCACCAGCTGAGCTTTTTAAACACTAATCATAGTTACATAGAACAGTATTAAACTACAAGTAGAGACGACAGATAATTGGTTGAGAAAATTTCGCTAACCCTAAAATAAACAATTACTAGAAACTCGGTTATAACAATGAGTAACCGAAAATAAACAAGAAAAAGTTATTTGAGAAGTATATTGATGTATGCTTTTTTATTATATACAATAGTGTTTCAGAACTTAAGTAAAAACAAGTTTCATTCGGACGAACTCAAGAGAAAAACTCACATCCTGTACATCAAACTGCAATGGGTGAGGGCATCGTTTCGTTCCAGACCAAAAATCAGAACCAGTTGAAGTGACATGGTCGCGAGGGAAGTTGAACAAAAGTTGTGCGATTGTGTTTGAAAACAAATCCTAAAAGAAAACTCACTTTAAACATACTTATCGAATGATAAAATTTTATTCACTGGTTAATTGTAGAATATCCAACAGCCAACGGCTTCAAGGGCCCCAGTATATTTTTACTCTATGTATTAAATCAATCATAAGGCTGAGATTTTACACTGTTTGATGGACTTAGATCGTATCTCGTGCGGGGATTAGTATACGCTAGAGGGAGTTGTAAAAACCTAGTGTTTAACCGAACGTTATGAATACTTAAAAGGAATATAACAGAAACAAATGCTTTATGAACCTATGTGTGTAGTGTATAAGAACCTTAACGGAAGATTTCAACTGAAATGATAAGATAGGTCATTACATCAAACTGTACAAAAATGTAGATCTTAAACGAAATGCAAGCATAGTTGAAATGGTGAAGATTTGTAGCTCAGGTGAATGATTTCGGTGGGGTTCGTTCTCTGAACTGGATGGTTTGGTTGACCTGAAGTTTGTGCTGTTGTTCAAAAGAACAATGAAACCTCCGCAACCAAACCATACAGGTCAGAAAGCGAAACTCCACCAAATGCAAGCAGAGTTCTCGATCATCCACTAGCTAAACTACTACAAGCGCCTTAATCAAATAATTATAGTTTCCCCCTAGCGCAGTATACACGATCCCATTGATTTGTTGTAGAGAGCTCTTATCTCGATGACCATTTTCAGGTCACACGATTATCACTCTCCTCAAGTAGCTAGCTGTTTTCGATATTTCTAAAATTATAGTAAGCGTTTTAAATTGACGCCTCAAAAGTAATGCCAACTAAACACCATGCAGGTATGCTTGTTACTTCGGAAAAGATAACCACTGAGACCGAAACGTTCAAGAGACTCTCATTCAGCAACCACGTGATAAATATCGAAAATGAGTTTCTTAACAAGCAAATGATTTAAAGACATTGTACTGATGTTTCACATTTCTGGTTTATTTGTCATATTAAACAACAAATCAGAAATACCACTTGAGGAAATCCCTGTGTACTACTAGTGCAGCAGAAATGTATCCTATAATATCAAGAAAATTGGAACGGTAGAAACCACAACTTGATAAGTCAAGCTGGACCTAATTTAATCCATAATTAGTCGCATGGTAATTGAGATCGTTAGGATTGGTGAATACTGAAGTTATAAGGTATGACAAGCAAACAAGTACGATGAACGAAAATTTGATAAATACATATCAGATTTTCGCACTTACCTGCCATAGTAATCTAGCCCAAGTGACACAATCTTCGAAACTATTGGGTCTTTTGTCTAATAAATTTGTTTTTAAAGTTTCTAGTGTCTCCAAAGGTTGGTTTCCTTGATTTGATAATGTTCGTTCCAAAAAGCCAGGCGGATCCTACAAAGTGAAGAAATAAGGAAAAATTGTTTTATATTGATCTAATCAAGGTAAGAACTCAAAAATCTGAGATAAGCTGGAATAAGTCTTCAATTATGTTCCAAACAAAAGTTACGTCCAGTTTATGTATTAATTGCATGTAGAAGGCAGCAAACCGTGGTGTGAAAATACCATGACTGGAAGAGATCTAAATTAATTTCATGGTTAGCAAATTATTATTACAATAAATGTACTCATTTTCAGATTAAAGAAAGTGATTATTCATGTCCTCGTTGGTTACTATGTTTTATACAAGTGTTCTGAATAGGAAAAATATAAAAACTGCAGAGCACAGTAAACTTACAAACTGTTTGGTTCATACTTAGTAATTACATTACACAGTTGACCAGTGTACGGTGGATGGAGCAGACTTAAACTAGATGGATAATCATTTATCAAGGAATCTGTACACGTAGAATTCACAAATGACTGACATTAAATGCCACAGTTCCAATATAGCGTGGTTGTTTCTTGAAAACCGATTTTATCTCAAGTACTCAAGCACTAAATCATCAACACACACATGATATATGTGAGAAACACCCAGACACTACACTGAAATTTTTGACTCCATGATGAGAAACAAATTCTAGTAAAACAGAGCAATAAAAAGTATGTTACATGAATCAAATGAAAAAACTATGAAATAAAACTCGAGAAGGGTAGTACAATCAATAACTAACCAAGAACAGGACTTAGTGAGAAATATTGCTCAGTTGGAAAATAAAACTAAAAAACTTCATTTAGTAAAGAGTTCTCATTTTTAAGAATGTAATAAAAAAAACCACAAACGGATCTCCATAAGCTTATATTTTGAAAAATATCAGACCTCTAGGGGACGAATAGGTAGTGATAAGTTAAATCCCACTATAATGCAGAAAGATTTCTTAATAAAACGCCATTTCATGAAATGAAACCCTGTCTTCTTCACCCGGCTTCACAGTTGACAAATAACGCACGATATGCAAGTAATTGGGATAATATTCTTAAACCATGGACATACTGTCAAAGTTGGTGGTTCAACAAAGTTGCACCAATTGGAATCACTGCTTTTAAATATACACTTGATTTCATCATCACTGACAAGGTTAACAACGCAAGTGAACAACCCACTGGAGATAAAAATGATCGGATAAAGCTGCCAAACATCTTCAACTCAGAGTCACTGTTTCACGACCTAAGAGATGAACCACCCTCATCAACGCACTAGATCCAACGATTTGCTTAGACCAACGTCAGGACGGTGCCGACGTTAGCCCACAGTGAAACAAAATGCCCTGGATCTCACTTTACGTAGGTCTGTCCAATTTTTCACTCCATTACCAGCACCAATACAACTATTCAGACCCATAAATTTCTCGATTAACTCTAACGGTTCACCATCAAGAGCGGGTCCGGGCCTTTCATGATATCATCTGTTCCAAGTTTGCTTTCCTGTTTCATAAAATAAATAGTATATTGTTGTCTAAACAGGATAAAACATCCAGATCTGAATAGCGACTTTATCAGCTTACCAGTCACGTAAAATGTAGTTCCTATGAGTTCAGTTCGCATTAAATGAGTCATAGGTTAATTAGTTAAGTTGAAGGACCATAACAAACGGAATTTATATGAACAAGATTTTACCACATTTTACCGGTATGGAATATAAACAAATATGTCATCATGATTTGAACGATAGTACAAAGACATATAGATCAAGACATTTTTGACAAGTGTCCCAAGTATTTCGCAAACGTAATGAATAACTAACCTGTAAAAACGAACTCATTGCTTGTGACTGATGGACGAAAAGTCCTTCAAACAGATCACGTGCCCACTGGAGAGTATGCTCAATCAGATAAGGGAAGTTTTTCAGAGTGCACGCAGGGAATGATTTTTCTGGAGGGTCCTATGAAACGAGAAACAAACATTGGGAGTTATACACCGAGAACCTCTTTTATTTCAATGTACGGATAAAGTTTACATTAGCAAAGTAATATCACTATTAAGAATTCAAGACGAACTGAAAAGTAAAGTGAGTTCACTTACAGCTATTTTCGACTTGCATATATCTGGTAAGTTTCTAAATATTTATAACGCCAGTATCAGTGTAAAAAGTATCATGATGATTCGCTGTACCAACCTTCAAAATTAACTATTCAGGCTAATTAAAGGATGAACGATAAATCAACTCAAGCTTAACAAAGATCAAGGATTCCGTACAACTAATTAGTCCAATGTAAAATTAGCTTCAAGACTTGTTCTACAACAACACAAATTTAGCAGCACAGCTGAGAACCACAGAAGCTTGTTGTTAGACTTCGATCTTTATTGAAAATTAAATGAATTATTTACACACATCCTTTATAATCGACTTTACGAAGCTAGTTTCCAAATAGACGTCTACATAATGTCAAATCACTCAACAGTAACATTATTAGCAATGTAACTTATTTGTCGATACAAGTTGATGTCATCAGTACTGAGTTACAAGAGCTTATTTATTTCTTTAAACACATAAATATTGGTACAAGGAAGCACCAGATATATATGCGCCTCACAAATCTCATTCGACTTGTGTGAGGGCTGTGATACTGCCCAGGTGCCCAGACTGAAGCAGGTGGTTTTCATAGGGGGTCACACCCGGAGCCTTTGACCTAAAGGTCTAGTCCACAAGGCAGTGGAGCATCGTAAGGAGATGCAGTCCCATGGTAGCCGGTGACCAACGATTGATTCACACGCCATTTGTTCCTTCAGGATACTGGAGCCCATGTGCACCATTGGTTTGGAATCAGAGTTTTCCAACTCCCCTAGGTGGATCCTCCACATCCACCAACCTGGTTAAAGCGCCGGACATGTTACAAGAGCTAGTTATACTAATCAGCTGTTCCAATCAAAGTAGATACTTCACGATCTCAAAAAGTGACCTCATGTTTGAAACCCAATGCTTGAGCTACCGCTTTATTAGTAGTAGATATACAGCACATATTTTGATCACTAGTAAGAACAGATTACTGCTTTAATGTTGATTGACTTTTTAGATGTTTTATAAGAAAAGTTACTAATGTTTATTAGCTTACCTGTGAAGATGAATAAGATTCTGTCAAATAAGGGATAACAACCTGTACATTACCCTTAGTACCTAGAGTTCCAGATTCTAAAAGCGGTTTGCGATAATACACACAACGACGATCAACATAAGTGCGGGCCTCAACGTTGTCTAACGCATTAGCAATTCCATCCAATTTTTCGAAGAATTCGTCGTCATATATTTTCTCTGTTTCCGGGCCGACACGATTCTCATGAGCTTCAATATTAAACTGGAATGAAAATAGATAAGCATCGTCATAAATTCGTATACATCACAACCCTGACGTTAAGAAAATTATCAAATGGATAAGGCCAACCGTAGACAACTTTGCATGGGTCTATATCGTGGTAAATATAATACATAACGTCAATGCTTCCACTGTACTGTATTAGGAAATTTAAAAATAACGAAAATGAAAAACAAAACTTACTAAAATCTCCACAAAACCCCTTCTGACAATGATCATGTGCTCACTAGTGACTGACTCCCTGAGGTATTTCCTGGAGTTCTAGTGAGAAGCAGTAACCGGTGGAGTTCAACCAGGTCTGTTGTGAGATAGTAACTCACTGATGACATTGGTGAATGGTTGCTCAATTTCGTGAATCAGTTGAAGTTAGACATTAACACCGTTGGATGCCGGCTCAGTGGTCTATCGGTTAAGGGCTTCGGCTCGAAACTGGTAGGTCCTGGGTTCGAATCCCGCGAGAGTGGGTTCGTGGATGCGCACTGCTGAGGAGTCCCATAATAGGACGAAACGGCCGTCCAGTGCTTCCAGGCTTTCCATGGTGGTCTAGCTTCAATTGACTCATGATCTCAACTCCATAACTTACTAAAATCTCCACAAAACCCCTTCTGACAAAACTCCCATTTGTTTGAGATTAAGAGATTTCTGCACAGTAGCTGAAAAACGCTGATCAACAAAACGTTTTATGAGCTTCTCGACGGACCTTGAAAAGTGATCTAGTTTTTTACGATGCCAGTACTGTTTATAGCTTCTAACAGTAGCATACAGAGTCAACGTAAGATCCGGGAGGGATGAGTTGCAAGATAGCATAATTTACTAGACACCACTACAGGGACCATCGGTGATCGCGCCAAGATTTCGTCAATCATTAGAGTACATGAAATTTCAGTGATAGGTATTATCCAGTAACTTTTTTGCTGCTTTCGTAAAGCCCTGCTCCACTTTGCAGGTTCGAACTAATAACCAGTCTGTCATGTAGTCTGCTGATGGATGCAATCCCATAGTAGCCAGTGACAAAACAATAGTTTCATACGCCATTTTTTGTTTTAGGATTCTGTAGCCCATGGGGATTATTGGTTTGGAATCACGGTTTCCCAACTCTCATAGGTGAATGCACTGACTAACCCGGTTTGAGCACAGGATATCCACCTTTTGTTCACTCAATTCCGCATCCCCAGCACAAGGAAGTATTGAGGACTTTTCTGGTAGTGACTGTATACGGGTGGTCGAATAAGAGCGATTCGGGAGGGATAGCAAACTTCCCCACCCTTTATATTGGGTAGCTGGAAGTCAATCACGCCATTATTTGCATCCCCCGGTGATTAGTGAATTGTATGACAAGGGTGCAATTGCTCTACTTTCCCACTTGCGAAGTTCACTAATTCTTATTTCCACCCTTTCCTTTCCATATTTTCTCCTTTCCAACACTTCTAGCTTCCTTCCAGCCTACTTCAAAACCAGAAAATAACCCCTATACGAGATAGGCGGTGGTTGATCATATGTAACACACGTCCCAACTACCTTGGTTGATGAAGATTTGCTACCCCCAATCGATTTCTCATCCTTACATAATACCTCATTTCTAAGCAAGCAAGCATTGCTTACTCCGTGGTCCAAAAACACATGTACAATGCTTCGAAGACACCTCTGATTTGATGATCGAATACTAGTAACCTACGAATATCCTCTATTCTTAATCGCCATATTTCACATCCGTAGAATGGAGCGAACCGCTGCGCAGTCAACTCATCCTTTGGTTGAGATACAGATATCTCATCTACGCCACAAGTGACGCACGTTGACGAGAGTCGACGAGTCTTTTGAATCCGTGCCGAGATCTCGTCAGACACCAGAGATTCCCAAGGTAAGTGAAGCGGTCGATGCGTTCAACTATTTCACTCCCTATCATTAATTCAAACGATGACGCGATCCAACCCCGAAGCAATATTTCACATTTGGAGAGAAAGAATCGCATCCCAAACATGCTTCCATTGTTGCTCAACGTGGCCAGAAGACTGCATTTTGTCAGCGTCTTCACCAAACAGAACTATATCATCTGTGTATTCTAAGTAAGCAAGTGAACATACTCGTGGATCATCAACTTGTGAAAAGTCAGACGATGAAAGTGTTATCTCTGAAAACATGTCTATCACAAAGTTACGTAAAAATGAGGATAGTGGACAACCCTGACGAACACTACATGAGGTAACCGATTTCGATGACAGTTTGCCATAAGCTATAACTCGACTAGTAGTGTTAGAGTAGAACTTGTACAAGGTTAATGTACTTCATTGGTACACCTGTCAATGACAGACTGCTGTATGTATAACAGGAAACATACAGTCAAATACCACAAAGGTGAATTGAGCTATAAATGAATACCTGCGTTCTGTACCCGACAGAATAATGGATTTCATAAAATCAGAATAACATGTATGATAACTGAGCATCACATTTCGAATTGTGATGCTTTTTTGGTCAACTGAATCACAATTTTTTAATTATTAAGATATTTTACCAAAATGTTTTAACTTGTAACTCATCTAGGCTTTACAAAAATGAAAACTGGAGTACTAAATGCTTCACATCCCATGCGATATGGGACGGGCGTCAACATGAGTCATCATAGGAAAGGCAATTACTAAATTATAAAAGTCAAGCAATACAACTGACCTCTGGATTTATCATTTTAGCAGCAGTCGATGCCACGACTGATTTCATTTTATGGATATCCCATGGACGAAAGAGGAACTGTCTGTTCAGGTTTGATCTTTCGATAAGATCCATGTCTGTCACAACAACTTTTCCAGACGGCCCTGCACCAACGCCCATCAACGAAAAGTTTTTTAGCAGCTCGCATCCAATTGCACCTGAACCAACCTGTAAACACAGTTACACGAAGTAAGTAAAGCTTACAATAAAATACTTCAGTCCTTTCAACTTCTCCTGAAACGCACGTCCGAATATGGCAATCTGACCGTCATAACGAGATCCAATTGGCTTTGCATCATTCTCTGAAACAACGAAATCTTCATCTGAACTCATTGAGAGACACTCAGTTGCATCGAAATACATCCACTGTTGCAGCGGTGTGAACTTACTGCTGCAAGCCTTCATAACCTCTTGGGCAGCGAAACTGCCTACAAAAGACTACTTAAATTAAATTAAATCAAACAAATGGCATACCAAAACAGGGGAACATTGACCTGAACAAACGCACCCAAAGATCATAGCTAGCTTTTCATCAATTGATGAGACTGAAGCACCTGTGTTTTTCATTTGCTCATTAACTTTATGAACATAGTCCACGAAAGTACGGGAATCAGTTTTACACCAAGGTTTAGGAAGAGATCCGTTGCTATTCTTATAATCACTGAGGGCCTTAAAGAAGAGATGGATCTGTGCGAGACGCTCAGTTTTGACGAAATCTGTTGTCATGAAAACTGGGGAATAATAGGCTGTTTGATAAGGTAGCTGCAAAGAAATAGTATCAAAATATATGAGACTTACAAAGTTTATTTTTAATGGCATTTTTACAACCGTACACATCCCACCAGATATGTATGAACTAAAATCAGACGTGTCACCAATGGAAAATACATCAGGTCCTAGAAAAGTAAATCATATGCCGAAACAATACTTACCAACAACGGTGACTCTTCGGGGTTCACAACCATTCAACTCAACCATCCCTTTTACTTCAGAGAAGGTTACATAATCACCGTCCTGAAACCCGTGACGAGTCTCCTCCAAACAAGTTACGAGTCCTTGTTTGCTCTAGACAATATTTTTGTGAGGAAACACTTTACCTTTTCTACTTGCTGAATCATAACTGAGGGTGGGACTTCACCAGTTGGATCATACACTACAAAATCTGTCCCAAAGTCACAAAACACTTTGCCAAAAAGTCCGCATGTTGAAGCAACGACGAATTTGACGCCTAAACTCCAACAAATATTTCCATACTCCACGCATAGGTCCTCAGACGCCTGGTTTAGCACTACTACGCTAAACTTCCTAAAGTCTTCTGCACCAAGTTTATGTTTGTTTAACACGCGAACAGACACATGATTGTTCAACTCGCTTAACTTATTCTTACAAATTTCAGCACGTGGATGACCTATGTCACTAAGGTTTGCAAAGTAGTGAGATGTGAGGTCAGCCATACATAAGGGAGTGTCATCACACAGCGTAACAGATTTAACTCCAGCCAGAATAATATTTTTAGCGATCTCGAGCCCAAGTCCTTCCAGGCCAATAACTAAAATATCTGTTGTTGCCATTCGGCGCATGCCTTCGGCCCCGTAAACATAAAGCTGCCGACTATAAAGACTTTCGTCCAAATCAGGAACTTCTCCGTTAGCTTCCATCCCCTGTGAAAGAATGATATTATTCTAACTTACAACTTACGTTTGATAAGTTGCTGTTGGTATTTGTATGAAAATTATTATTGTTGTTTTCTGTAGAGGTCAGTATTTTTTGTCGTTTGGATGGAGGAGTTGGAGACATCTAAACACCAGAAATGTCATTCAGGCCTTACAAGACTTAGGATACCAAATCAAGTAGCGAAACATCTAAGCTCAGTCAAACACAAGTATTGTACGTATGACGTGAACAGTATGCAACATAAAAAGTCTCCTAATGCAATATGAGGTTAGATTGATTATTAATAAATTACTTTATATATGTATATTTAACAAATACATACTCAAACGTCTGTTGAAACTCCGTTTACGTATCGCATTAAAAAACAACCATTGTGACAAACGGGTAAGCGTAAAGGTTGTACGAATATCAGAAACTTAGCCTCCAAATATAATTTCTGAGGCCTTCACCTTAAGCTTTAGGGAATCAGACATTACACCAACGCGAAAAAACTTAAACTATGAATATACTTGTAACGTCGGTAGGATGTAGCGGTATATAAATCATCGGTATAAGTAGTTTTGTAGGTCTTCGAGACTGATTCTAACCTCATTAGCCTTAATAGACACACTCTGGACAAGAGATTTCGGTCAAGCATCCGAACACCACTATTGGGTAGGTTGTGCCACAAATCCCTCGCGACTAGTCAGTTTGGGCCATATAATTCTCCTCATATCAAATGGTTCAAATGGTTGAGGACGGAATAGGAGAAGCTTTTGCTTAACGGGATTTAGTGTCTAGTAGCAGCGGATCACCAATGCCTCCAGGCAAGAACCTAGGTAATATTAACGATAACAGAGGAAAAAAGAAATTGGTAAATCATAATAATATGTTATCCTTAGTCCTTAAGAATAGGTCAAGTTTCCTCTTAAAGGACTCCTGAGAAGCCGCTTGGACTACCTCAGTCGGCAGCGAATTCCAGCACTTGACAACTCTTAAGGAGTAGAAGTTTTGTCTACAGTCTGTTCTGCTACGTTGGGTCTCCAGTTTCTGGGTTTTACCTCTTAGGTTAGTGTTGTGACTAAGCTTAAGATGTTTAAAGGGATGACCAGAAGTATTAAGGATAATATAAGTCATAAGAAGGTCACCTATAAGACGCCTGTACTCTAACGGGTAAATGTTAAGTGATTGGAGGCGCTCTTCATAGGGTTTGAACTTGAGTCCCCGAACTGATTTCGTGGCTCGACGTTGGTTACGCTCCAGAGAGTCCTTATCCTTTTGGAGGGAGGGAGGAAATACTATGTTTCCGTACTCTAAATGGGGACGAATAAAACTATTAAAGATTATGTGGAAGGTTCTACCGTCAAACTGGCCAAAAATGCGCTTCAATGTTACCGGTGCAGGGTTTGCTTGAGAGGCGTTTTTGTCACAGTTCGCATACGATTTCAGGTCATAGGGAACCAACACTCCTAAATCCTTTCCGACTTGGTAAACTTCTAGAGAGGAGTTTCCTAAGTTGTAACTATAGTCTGCAACATGTCTCCGGTGGACTACTTTACACTTTGAAGTGTTGAAGATAAGTCCGTTGTCGTCCGCCCAACTTTGAAGTCGAGTCAGATCCTCTTTAAATTTAGGTGACCTCGTCTGTTTGCTCAGTGGGTGATTCGGTCTCACTTGAAGTATCAATTTATGTTTTTCGAAATAAACAGACAAATTTTACCTTAATAACGTATGTCCCATCTTCATTTAAATACTTTGAGTAAAAGATCTGTGCAAATGAAACAATAATTATGACACCCGCTCGGTTCGGCATTCTCGGTTATCGTATAATTACGTTCAGTCTATATAATAATATCATACTTAAGTATACTGCTTGAAGCATGTAATGAAAAAGATCAGTTTAGTAGGTAGAGCTGCTCACTCATTTCGGTTAACATGCTTGATCGTCACAACTAGTAAACGATCAGTGCGAAATTGTGTATACGTTACACAATAAATAGAGTCAGGAAGCTGAAGTTGAATGCTCAGAATTTGTGCAGAACAGAAGGAATCATTGGGATGTTATATTACTATATCATGCTTATCACATTCTCAGTAGATCTAACATATCTCCGATTCATTTCTTTAATAGGCTACACGCAATATGGTAGTTATATGAACCCATTGTAATAACAGCCTTTGATAAAAACTACAGTAACTCCCATATTAGCCCACTTTCAATGATCATACTGATTCAAACCAGTATGTTTGCAAATAGTAAAAAATGCCTTATATGCTATTGTTGTCATATGTTATAAAACAGAGCTCATTTTGAAAAACAGGTGATACGTATGTTTGGTGTTTATTTGTAGGCTGTACGTCTAGCTCCGACTAATTTCCAAGATCACTGTCATTAGACAATGCCACCAGCGTTAACATTGATGGCAGGATAGCTTAGTGTCTGTGCTTTTACATTCCTGCAAAACAGCCGTATAAAGTCTTGGATGAGAAGAGTTCTGCACTTTAATTATATGCAGCTTGCTGTGGACAAACACCAAAAATCTTTTTGACAACCGGGGATTTTAGTTTATCAGACACTAACTCTACATGTATATCCTCCAGTAGAACCGGGCGCAGATGCATTGGAATGCTTGAAAGGCAGTAAGATAATAAAGTCTGTACAATACGGTACTAAGCACATACCATGTTTTGTACACGTTGTAGTATCTGACCTGGTCTTAAACCGATATTCGCGAACTCGTAGTAAATCACGGGCGCGTAAATTCTTTGCTTAAAAACATTATTATTATTCACAAACATCCTATGGGTACATAAGTAATATGAAGAAACCATTGTGGATTTCTTCAGAAATACAACAATACACAAGTTTTAATAATGTTAGCATAACGTTTAACATATTTTGATAAAAAGGAAAAAATAATAGGGATAACAGCATATCAATAAATCAGGTTCTGTGTAATTGAGAACAATATTGAGTTGATTTTGAAGATATGGGGAAAACAAGGGAATAGAAATGAAGAAAACGTGAAATACGTAAATACTTTAATGAGCATGTTTGTGAACACAGAACAAGAATAAACGAATATGTATATATTGCCAAATTAATAACAAAAAGAAAGGACAAGAAAAGATTATAAATGAATAAATAAGAACACAACTTATTACTGAATCAAGATATGGTGGTAGAATAAGTATTTATTTAGTAATGGTTTGGAGCGATGCTATGAAATTCAATTATGGGCGAAGGATAATCAAGTATCAATATTTATAAGTCAGGTATACATAGTGTAGATAAAACGAGTCTGAGAAGTTGATCTGAGTATAAGATATTGTCTTAACTACAAACTTCGGATACGTCAAAATAATATTTCTTGGAAGGAAGAGAGGGAAAGAAATGTCTAAAAGAAAAAAATGAACACCTGGTGAGAGGGTTAAAACAGGATAATATCAACCTCAGAAGTCAGCCATTAATTTCTTTGAAGCACACTTATGTAAATACGCGTAAATTTGCGTAATAGGATAACAAGTGAAACTTGATATTAGCATTAACTCTTGTGCAATAATAACTTAGAACGGCGTTATAAATGTCATAATTAATTGCAAAGGATAAACAAATGTAAAATTCTTTATGCTATATGTGTGTGGTGAAGATAAAATGAATCTGAGAACTTAGTTTATTTAATAGTGACATAAGGTAGTTTGTTTTTAGTCACAGGCTTTCGATGTCTGGGGGGAAAAGAAGGGATGAAATGAGTGTCTAATGTTTCCGGGGAACGATTATAATAATTATCATAAAAATGAACATAAGCAAAATCCAGACATTAAGATGAATAAAAAAGAAAATAAACGAGAAAAGTTTCAAAGTTTCTACTTCGCTTTTCAGTGAATTAGATAGATGACGGACCTTGTTTGCATAAATCATTGTTAACCACACTGATATTCAATAGGTGACACAATCCACTTTCAGAAAGAAAATCATCAAGGAAACCTTAAGATGAGTAATTTTATTGTTCAGAGAGTGGGCGTTGAACGAAAGTATAAGAAACTAAGAGGTTTCATAGTGACGTAGGTTAGAGTATAGACGACGATTCGTAGTTCCATGAACACCCGTAGGATTGGCTACAGTAAGAATTGAGTTGCGAGAGTAAGTAAATTCAGCAACTTTGTAATCATTTGTAATATATTCACCGTTGCCTGCAAAAACTCCGGCGTGGTTACAAAACTGTCTCCCGATTGTTATTGATTATAACATCTAATAGGAGAATAGTGTACCTATCGAGAGCCGTACCAAGTAGGCTGTGATGTCTATGTGTGCGACCAAGTGGCCATGTACAATAGAGAATACTTTTTATATCTGACGTATGTATGACATTTTCCAGACGTTTATTTGCTTCTTTTTCTATCCCATATTTCTTACAATAGCCAATACTATTTTTTATTTAAAATGCAACAGGAGTGAGTCTTCACAGATCTTACAAACAGTTTCGTCGTTAGAACTATGGCCTCATGAAACTTTTTACGGAAGATTTAACTAACAGTAGCTTCGCTTAAGCTTAATAAAAACATGCTAGACGTCCACTCTAGTTTCACAACCACTTCCAGCATTTATGAGTTACTTCTTTCTTCCTTCGCTTTAAAAAATAAGAAGGACTACAGCTTAACATTAACAATTGAGGTTTTAAATGGAACCTGATGTAAATGTTTGTTTGATATTCCATTGTTAATGAAACTTCTTTCATAAGTTTGCAAATCTAATGTTATTTTATGTTATCAAGTTAACAGTCGTAAAAATTGTGATACACGAGCATCACAGCACCTAGTTTGTATGTAATAAATTAAGGTGGTATGGTACACATCTTCGTTATTTTCTTGGAAAACCTACAAACTCAAGACTTCTTACCTATTCCAGCCACCATGATGTGTCACTGCAGTTGATGTATGGACGCGTGCTACGCACATCCTAACCATTCATGCGTCTAATCCCACAGTTTCTTACTCAAATTCCATATGATATGTAAGCAACGCCTTTATCCACACTAATGGAACACTAGTAACACAATGGTACCCCTATGGTGTCATACATCGGTCTACCAGCTTGCCTAGCTTTTAGTGAAAATACTACTGAAGTCCTGATTAACATATCA